TTTATAATTTATTAACTGATTTAGGAGAAGTTAATATTAATTTTGGTTTATGCATTTTTTCAGGACTTTTTGAAATTTTAAAAATTTTAAAATTAATTTTTGGAAAAAATAAAAATCAGGATTATTTATATAAAAATACAATTGAGAATAAAAATCACAATTTTGCTAGCTAAATTGATATTTTTAAAGAACATTTAAATGATTTTGATAATTTAAAAGAAGAATATAAGATATAGAAATGTATTTAAGATAAAAAAACAATAAAAACTTTATAAAACATTGATTTTTTGGATAATTAAGAAGATTAAAAAGAATTTAATGTTATGTTTTGGGATTAAGTTCGATTATAGTATCATGGAAAAATTATGATGGTTTAAAATAATAAAATTAAAATTAATTTATTAACTGATGTTTTCCCTTATGAGGAAGTATAAGAAAAAATATAGGTTTGTTTAGGAAATTATTAGATTTTTTATCATAATTCTACAATTAAATTTTAATGTTAAGAATTATATATAAAATAAAAACCTAGAAAAAAAAAGAATCATATATTTTAAAAATTCCTTTAGTAATATTTTTTTTTTTTAATATATATTTTTAAAAAATAAAAAATTAGATTTAAATAAGTTTTAAGTTTTTATGGAATTGTGAAAAAAATAACCATTATTAAGCTATACTAGATTTATAAAGTTTAGAAAAATTTAAATCAAAATATTTAGAAATCATAATTGAATTAAATATTCCTTAAATATAATATTAAGATAAAATTAATTAAGAAAATAATGTATTATATATATATATATATAAATAACATAAAAATATTTATATATTTATATATTTATATTATATATATTATATATAAATATATATCCAGAAAAAAATATTTATATTAAATTAAGATATAAAATATAAAATATGATATTTTTATCATAAAATATAAATAATAAGAATTTTAATCTAAATATAAAAAATTATATTTATCAGATATAAAAAAAAAATTGTATATAAATTTAATTAAAGTAAAATAAATTTAATGTATATAGATTTATTAATTTTAAATATTTAATTATATATATATATATATATATATATTTGTAATTATATATTTAATTTTTTTTAAACAAAATAGAATATTAGAAATCTAATCAAAAATAGTTAAGTACCTATTATACATTATTAAAATGAATTTATTTAATGGATAACAAAGCTTCCTTAATTTAGGAATGATATTTTATTATTATATAAAATAAATAGAAGCAAAAATATTTATAAAAAAACCAAATAAAAATAATAAAAAGACATTAAAAATTAATAGATAGAAGTATAAAAAATTTTAATATATAAACATATAATTATATATTTAATTATTTTTTATAGAATTATACAGGATTTTTATAAATAATATATTAATTTATTGAAAATAAGTTGAATTCAGAAATAAATTAAATTAATATATTTTAACATATAAAAAAAATTAATTTATAATTTAATATATTAAAAACTATAATATTATTATCTAATTAAGACTTATATTAAAAGTTTAATAAAAAAGAAGAAAGCTAATTTAAATAAATTATAGGATTTTAATTATTATTTGAGAATATTGAATTAAGTTTTAATATAATAAAATAATAAAAAGTTTAAACATAATAATATAAATGGATAAGAAATGAAACAAAAGGTAAATTAAATAAAATGTAGGCTTCAATATTAAAAGAAAATCCTGTAATAATATAGTCATGTAAAAAAAAAAAAATTAAATACATAATTATATAAATTTAAATATGTATATATATATATATATATAATTTTTTGATATATAGATAATTTTTAAGATTAAATATTTAATAATGAGAATGATTTATACAATATAATTTTTTAAGAAATTAAAAACTTTAATTAGATACTAAATATATTTTAGATATAAAATAAAGAATTCATATTAATTTTGTAAAATAGTAATAAGAAGAAGTAAATTTAAAAAATTAAAATGAATTTCAATTATTTGGAATGTTTTTATATTCTGAAGAAATAATTTATTAATAAAATTTTAATTTTTAAAATTAAAATATAAAAAACTTTCTTTCTTTTAATAATTGCAAAATATTAATTTCTTCCTTTTTAATTTAAATTTTTTAAAATTTTTTCTTTTGTCATAAAAATGATTAGATTTAAAAGTTTTTATAAGAATTTTAAAATAATTAAATTTAATAATAATTAAATTAGCTTTTTCTTCCAATTTAATCTTTTTAATAAAATTCAATAAAAGAAAGAACTATACTTACTATTTAATTCATAAATCCTGAATTTAACCTTTTTTATGAATAAAAAGGAATATAAATGGTTATACATTCTTAATAAGATTGCTTTATTTTTATTAATGATTAGATACTACCTTATGATAAATTAAAAGTAGATAAAAAAAAATATCTTTAAGTAGTTTTTGAAGCTTTGGATTGTTATATTAGTAACAAACAAGTTAAATAGTAAGTATTTTGGGTATAAAATTAAGAAATTTAAAATAATCTTTAAAAAATTATAAATGGAAAAAATGTTTCAATAAAATTATAATATTTTGATTTAGAAAAATGTAATATGGATTTTAGTTGTTTAGAATAAAAGTTTGAAAAAATAAATTAATATTTGTGGAATAATATAGTAACAATTTTTAAATAATATTAAAAAATAATATAAAAAAAATATTTTAGGATAACAGATGTAATAAGCTTGTTTTAGAAGTATAAAATTTAAATTCTAAAGTAAATTCTTAAAGTTTTTTTAATTTTTTGGAAATATTAGAATTTTTTTAATATTTAATAAATTCAGAGGGTAAGCAATAAATACAAAATTAAATAAATCAATAGTAAGAAGAAGAATTAAATAAAATAGATATTTAAATGATAACAGAACATTTAAAAAATAATATTAAAAATTTAAAATAATAAAAAGATAATGATTATCTTGTAAATGAAATATGTTATAAATTAGGAAATTCCAGTATTTAATTAATGAATAATTAAAATAAATGTTTTTTAGAATTATAAATGAAAAATCTAAATTATATAACTAAATAACATAAAAATTAAAAAGTAAAAATTAAATGTATATATATGTATATATATATAAATATATTTATTATATAAATTTATATATTTATATATTTTTTTACAATTAAATTTTATTTTTCTATAGCAAACTTTTGAATTAACATTATATGAAATAAATTTATAAAATTTAGAAGAATTTAATAATGAATATTCATAAATGATTCAATTTACTGGAAATGAAAAATTTATAAAAGTAGAATAACAATATTTCTAAGTAATGGGAATAAATTAAAATATTTATTGGGATGTTTATGAAAATTTTAATATTTTCGTTCCTCCTATTATAGTTAAATTCACAGAAGATATATATTTACCTTTTTATTAATTCTTTTTTAAAAATTATTTTTAGATAAATTCTTTTATTTAAAATTCAAAATCACAAAGTTCTAATAATAATATTGAATATTCATATCATTTTTTAGTTTAAAAATTTTAAATTTAAGATTTAAAAGTTTGTGTATTTTTAAAAACATCTTCAGTTATTACTGTAAATAATTTTACTTTTTAAATATATTTTTTATTTTTTGTTAAAAAGAGATTAAATGGTGTTTCTTTAATAATTTAACCTTATATAAGATAACAAAATATTTATAATTATAAATAATTATTTGATGATTTTGTAGAGTATTTGAAAACTTAAATATCTTCATAAATTTTTTCACTTTTAGGATAAAAAATCTTTGGATATTCCTTAAATATTAAGTAATATTTTTCTAAATATTTATATTTTTTTTAAATAAAAAAACATTTAAAAAAAAGTGAAGAAAACTAAATAAATAATTGAAAAAAAAATATGTTAAAATTTAAATAATTTTTTTAAAGATATATTTTATTTTTTTAATATTATTTTTATTTTATTTTATTTTTAATTATTTTAATTTATATTTTAAGTTTTAAAACTTATAAATTAGTTCTTTTCATTAAAAGTTTATAAAGTAAAAAAACTTTTATATCAAATATTTTATTTCTCATTAATTCATATATACATTAGAGCATAATCCTCATTAAATCGATTTCTAGAATCAAATTAATATATAAAAGTCAGTATTAATGTTACTATTACTGTACATAATTTTATTTATTTTAATTAATTAATAAAGAGTGCTTTTTTTTTAGCTTCTTTTAAATTTTTTTATTATTAGAACATTAATTATTTATATTATTTTTCGTTTATATAATAATTGGAATTTATATATAAATATTTTTTATTATGATTTTATTTCGAAAATATATATAATAAGTAAATAAAGGCTTAGTCTAATACTATTTTATCTTAATTTTAATTTATAAAAGCAATAAAAACTAGTAATTTTTTTTTATTTAAAAAAATATATTTTTTATATTATTTTCAATTATTTGAAATATTTCTATTTGATTTCCTTACTTTTTGATTATTTAATTAAATAGTTTTTATAAAAAATTGTATATTTAGAATAAATTATAATCTATTTTTTAGTATTTTTTTTTTTTAGTTTTATTATAATCATATTTATTTTTTTCATTTATATAAAGAAATAATATATATATTTATTTAGTTTTTTTTTTTTTTAATCAATAATTTATTATAATTAATAAATTTTTTAATAAATTCATAATTTTAATATAATTTAACTCCATAAAAAAAAATGTATAAAAATAGTAATTTTAATTAACATAATAAACTTATATATAGAAGGAAAAAACATAAAAATACAAACTTTAACTATATTTATATTTTAATAATATTATTTTCATTTTATAATTTATTAATATTCTCCATTTACCCATTCGCCTTCAATTGCTTTCTCATCTGGCGAAACTAATATTCCTTATCCATTCATTTTACTTTATTTCCAATATCCTTTATAAAAAATACCATCCTACCAATAAAATTCTCCATATCCATTAAATTAATCATTATAAAAATTACCTTAAATATAAATAAATTATAAAATAATTTAAATAATAAATGCCTTCATATTTTTTCCCATCAGCCCATACATATAAACCTTTTCCATGCATTTTATTATTAAGCCAATATCCTTTATATTATTTTCCTGTATTCCATTTACAAGTACCATATCCTTTTATTTAATCATTTTCAAAATTTCCTTCATATTCAAATATATTATCTATTATATATTTCCCATGCCCATTCATTAAACCATTTTTATATTAACCTTTATAATACATTCCTTTATTTGTTATTTCTTCTCCCTATCCATCTTTTTATCCATTTTTCCTTTTTTTTATATTTTATAATTAAAAAAAAAAAAAATCTATCATTTATAAATAAATAAAATGGGCTTTAAAAAAAAACAATTTTTATTTTACATTTCTCCTTCATATTTGCAGCCATCAATTTTTACTAATAAACATTGTCCATTAGGTTTATTATTTTTAAAGCTTCCTTTAATAAAATTTCCTTATTCATCTATATAAAAACCTTCTCCTGAAAATTAATCATCTAGCCAATATCCTTCATAAAAACATCCATTGGTACATATTAGTATTCCAAAACCATTTCTTTTGTTATTTTTGACATATCCATAATATTTATCCCCTTATTAATTTATTTAATATAGCTTTTATTATTAATGTTATGTAAATTATAATATTCTATATTAGTTTATATTTTATAATTTATGTTTTTTTATAAAAAATCAGTTATTTCATCCTAAAAATCTATATTATTACCAACTAAAGTATGACTGAATGATTTATTTGTACTGAAAAAAAGGAATATTAAGAAGTGATTTTTTTTTTAAAAAAAAAAAAATTAAATAAGCATATTATTATATACATTATTTTAGTTTTTTTTAAAAAATAAGTTTGATATAATTTTTTAATATTTACCTTTATTAAGATTGTAATTAAATTATGTTAGATATATTATTATTATTATCAGAATCAATATTATAATCGTTTTATATAATATAGTCATATTTTTGAAAATTCATAGAAATATTATTTTCTGTTTATACTTTTTAAAATAATTAGTCTTCTTGTTGTAAATAATTTGATGTATTTTATTATTCTAATTGATTTTCAAAAATTGATAGAAATTCTTTTTATTTGCCTTAATAACAGTTTTTGCAATATTCGTTTCCCATATAAAATATAAATTTATACTTATTTTAAATTTAATGTAATTTATTTTATTATAATTATTATTAGTATATATTCATGCATGTTTTAATTATTTTAGTAATATAATATAATATAATATAATATAATATAATATAATATAATATATATACATATATATATATATATATATATATTTAATTTAACTTAATTTAATTTAATTTAAACATAATTAAATTAAATATGTTATATTATAATTTTTTTAGTAAGAATAATAAGATTTTACGAAATAATATATATTAAAATATTAAATTATTTATATAATATATTATAAATACTTAAAAAAACAGGATTTTATATAAAAATATTTTATATTTAGCTTTGTGTTTTATTAATATTTTAATTATTGGTATAGATTATATGAAGTTTATAAAATTTATAATTTAGTAAAAAAAAAAAAATCTTAAAAATAATTTTATATATAATTAAATAAATAAATTTTATAAAAATAAAAAAAAAGAATAATAAAAAAAAAATCTCAAATAATAAATTATTAAAACTCATTAATAAAAACTATAATAAAAAAAAAAAAATTATGCAATTATTTAATGGTGCATTTTCATTAGGAACTTCATAAAGATGTAAAAAAATAAAAATATGATATATATATTAATATATTTAAATATATAATATTATATATATTTATATATTTATATATTTATATATATATTAGCGAAATGGTTTCTTAGTGAAACAAATAAATATCCAGGTCCCGGAAATTACGGATTTCCAAAATTATTAGATAAACCAAATTTAACTAATGTTAAGTATATAAATAATATTTAATATATATTAATTATTATAAATAAATAATTTAGATTTTCTAAATATACTAGAAATTTAAATTTTTATAACGGAGTTCCAGGTCCAGGTAGTTATAAAAAAAATTATAGTTAAGTTGATGGCAAAATAGAATATAAATTCGGACTTAAATTTAAAAGTATTCTTAAACCTTCTGAAGTAGGTCCTGGAAGTTATGACCCAATGCCTAAATGTAAGAGTTCTTTATTTACTTTTGGATATAGATAACTGTAATAATTCAAAAGTGATACGCCAGCTCCAAATGCATATTAGTAATAATTAATATAAGATAATAAAAGTTTTATTAAAACACCTTATGGTAAATGCTAATTTGGAAACTCTTCCAGGTTATAACAAAGATCAGATTAAGTACCAGGACCAGGATATTATAAAACAAAATAATTAAATACTACAATAGGATATAAGTAATATATTTTTTTTTAAAAAAAAAACAAAACAAAAATAATTATTTAAAATTATTAAATATTAAAAATTAGATTTGGATATAGTTAAAGAAAATAAATTAATTATTAAGATAATCCTGGACCAGGTTATTAATTTTTATTTTATACTGTTGAATTAAAAAAAAGGTGCTTTTAATATCGATTCATAATGGATTAATAATTTAGGTTTTTCAATGGGAATAAAAAAATCAAATTCTCTAAAATATTATGATAATAAAGTTCCAGGGCCAGGAAGTAAAAAAATATATAAAAAAGATATATAAAAAAATAAATATATATATATATATATATATATATATATTTATATATATATATAAAATGTTTATAATATATTATATATTATATGTTTTATATTATTTAAAAATAAAATAAAAAATGTTAGGTTATCATTAA